CCCCCCCCCCCACGATTCTGAGGTCAGGAGTATTGTGCTCCAAAACTCTTGTCAGTTTGAATCCAGAAGTCCCAGAGTAGTTTGACATGTTCATTTTCTGTACCTTTTTCAGGCTTGTTATCCCACCAGTTCTTTGTCATAAGCAGATGGTATTTGTGGTACAAGTTCCAATGAATCATCTGAGCAAGGGTGTTGTGCCTCTGCTTGTAGTCTGTCTGCACAATCTTCTTGCGGCAGCTGAGGATGTGATCTATTGTTTCATCTGCTTCCTTGCAGAGTCTACACTTGGAATCTGTTGTCAACTTTTCAATTCTGGCTTTGATGGCATTGGTTCTAATGGCTTGTTCTTGGGCTACATGAATCAGGCCCTCTGTCTCCTTTTGCAAAGTTCTATTTGTAAGCCACATCCATTTTTTCCTTGCCAATTTTGCTCTCAATTTTCCCAGGAATGATGATGATGATGATGATGATGATGATGATGATGATGATAATAATAATAAATCACACAGTCCTAAACGTTTAGGAAGTGTTTGACTTGTGATTTTGTGATACCTTGTTTGCTGTGTCATACTGGGTCTTTGTGTCAGTATAACAACAACAACAACAACAACAACAATTGTATTGTCAAAGGTTTTCATGGCCAGAATCACTGGGCTGCTGTAAATTCTTCGGGCTATATGGCCATGTTCCAGAAGCATTCTCTCCTGACGTTTCGCCTGCATCTATGGCAGGCAAACTCAGAGGTTGTGAGGTCTGTTGGAAACTAGAAAAATGGGGTTTATATATCTTTGGAATGTCCAGGGTGGGAGAAAGAACTCTTTTCTGTTGGAGGTAGGTGTGAATGTTTTGGTTGGCCACCTTGATTAGCATTTAATGGCCCAGCAGTTTTCAAAGTGTGACTTGTTACTGCCTGGGGGAATCCTTTGTAAAGAGGTGATTAGCTGTCCCTGCTTGTTTCTTGTCTCAAGTCCCCCTATTTTTGAAAGTTGTTCTTTATTTACTGTTATGATTTTAGAGTTTTTTTCATACTGATAGCCAGATTTAGTTCATTTTCATAGTTTCTTCCTTTCTGTTGAAGTTGTCCACATGCTTGTGGATTTCAATAGCTTGACATGGTAGTTGTTCGAGTGGTCCAGCATTTCCGTGTTCTCAAATAATATGCTGTGTCCAGGTTGGTTCATCAGGTGCTCTGCTATGGCTGACTTCTCTGGTTGAAGTAGTCTACAATGCCTTTCATGTTCCTTGATTCATGTTTGGATGTTGCTGCGTTTGGTGGTCCCTATGTCGACTTGTCCACCATTATTATTATTATTATTATTATTATTATTATTATTATTATTATTATTATTCTCATGTATGCATCCAAAATTGCCTTTTTTAAAAACATGTACTATCATTTTTTTAAAAATTAATAAAAGTTTTAAATGCTCTTTAATTTTGTAAGTAGTTTATTTATAGTTTAAAACAACGTTTTGAACATTATTGCTTCAAATGAAGCAATTTGCATGTTTTTAAAGGAAAAGGCATGCAAATGGGATGTATTGTACCTCCTTCTGCGCAGCATTAACAAGGGGGTGATACTACCATTCCTCTGCCAGTGTCCCCCCAGTACCTATTTGGCACATTAGGTGTGGATCTGCACTACATAGTTTATGCAGTTTGATGCCACTTTAACTGCCACGACTAAATGTTATGAAATCCTTGGAGTTGAGTTTTACAGCATCTTCAGCCTTCACTGCCGAATAGTGCTGATATATCACTCAGCTGTAATAAATTGTGGCAAGTTCTTGGTGGGATGGGCATCCCAAGCCACCTTGTCTCTCTCCTGAGGAATCTGTACAAGGACCAAGTAGCAACAGTCAGAACTGACCACGGAACAACAGACTGGTTCAAGATTGGGAAAGGCGTACGGCAAGGCTGCATCCTCTCACCCAACCTTTTAAACTTGTATGCAGAACACATCATACGATGTGCGGGGCTTGATGAATGCAAAGCTGGGGTGAAAATTGCTGGAAGAAACATTAACAGCCTCAGATATGCAGATGACACCACTCTGATGACCGAAAGCGAGGAGGAGCTGAGGAGCCTTCTAATCAAGGTGAAAGAAGAAAGCGCAAAAGCTGAGTTGCAGCTAAATGTCAAAAAACATAAAAAAAACCCAAGATTATGGCAACAAGATTATGACAACTGGAAAATAGAGGGAGAAAATGCGGAGGCCGTGACAGACTTTGTATTTCTAGGTGCAAAGATTAC